ACCTTAAATGATGCAGATGGGAATCTTATAGGACTCTGGGAACAGCTGGGACCTCACAGATGTTGAACACAGGTGAGAATTGGTGTGATTCAGTGCAGCTGTAGGAATGGGTTATCTCATTTTTCCCTCGACAGCAGGATTTCATTGATCTCTATACAGTGACTCATTCTGCTCTGTCTCTACTTCTACGGTTCCTTTGTTACCAATTACTTCATTCTCTACTTTATATGTCTCTTCTCTGCCTAATGGCTTCAGTTTACTCATAACTTGCCCTTCTCAGGGCTTCTCGGGCTGTCTTTCCCAATACATGATTGATTTTGTCTTCACATTCCAGTTCAAATTCTTGAAAGAGAATGGGTGTAGTTAGTCATTGCCATCCTTGTTTGGCTAGAGTGTTCACATCAGGTCACATTTTAGGCCTGGCTGCCTCAGGTTATATGTTTCTATGAAGGGGGTTGTCTGATATAGATCATGCCTCAGCCTGCTGCCTCACCTGGGGACACTGGCTGGCTGGAGTAAAACTCTTAAAGGGTAATCTGAATCTGGCACAGCAGCACAGAATGACCTCTTAGGCCCATTCTTTTTGTTTTGGGTTTAAAGACAAAAATTTTAATATACCACTAAGGTAACATTTTTCATGCTTTTTTTTTTTTTTTTTTTTTTCCGAAGACAAAATTCTCCTAACTCTTTCATTTAATATAGTCATGTTAGGGGCACCTGGGTGGCTCAGTCGGTTGAGCGTCTGACTTCTGCTCAGGTCATGATCTCACAGTCTGTGGGTTCAAGCCCCGTGACTGGCTCTGTGCTGCCAGTTTGGAGTCTGGAGCCTGCTTCTGATTCTGCGTCTCTCTCTCTCTCTCTCTCTCTCTCTCTCTCTCTCTCACTGCCCCTCCCCCACTCATGCTCGGTCTCTCTCTCTCTCTCTCTCTCTCTCTGTCAAAAATAAACACTAAAAAAAAATTAAAAAAATAAAATAGTCATGTTACATAGAAACAATAAGTAGATTTGTGTGGTTGCCAAGGGCTAGAGGTTGGAGGGAAATGGGGAGATGTTGGTAAAAAGGTACAAATTCCCAGTTGTAAGATGAATAAGTTTTGGGGATATAATATACAGCATGGTGAGTACAGTTAACAATACTGAGCTATATTCTTGAAAGTTGCTGAGAGAATAGATTTCAGGTGTTTTCACCATAAGAAAAGAAAAAAAAAGGTAACCCTGTGAGGTGAAGGATGTGTTAACTAATCTTATTGTGGTAATCATTTCACAATATATATGTATATTAAATCATCATGTAGTACATCTTGAACATATACAATCTTATATGTCAATTATATATCAATAAAGCTGGAAAAAAATAGTCATGTTACCTCGCTATTTTTCAGCTGACTCTAATAGAAATATATTTGAGCTAAATATTTCTTAAAGTTCCTAAATTTTAATATTATGGAGAAAATGTTCATGCTCTATAATGTTCAACTGGCATTTTAATAAGCTTATTTGCTTATTAAAGAAAGTAAATGCATTTTAATAGTTAATATAGAATTGTGCCTACAGATATCAGAGAATAGCAAAGATGGGTAGGGAAGGTCTGGAATATGCTGACTTTCGTAAAGTAGGTTAACAACATTTCCCTTTTGAAACAGAATGTTCTCAGGCATTTTCCTGGCCCTTGGCTGCTAAAATATAAATGGTTATGTGTAATGGTTAACTGCAGACTGTTATTGTTGGAAATTATTTTTATATGCACAAATTATGATGGAGAGTGAATTGCAAACATAAATTGTTTTTGGTTTTATTCTGATTTAGAAGGATGACTTAAATTGCCTTCTATATCATCTTACCACTGTAAAACGGGAAGTGAAGTCAGGCAAAGAACTGCTTCCTGTCTTCTTGCAGAGAGGAAACAAATATATAAATATGCATAGGCAGCCTTCAGTCTTTCTCTCTACTCAGTCTATCCCATGCACAGTCTTGATTTAGCATTAGTAAAATATAATGTCGTTCCCCTATTCTCAACTCTGGCTGTATGTTAGAATCACTTGGAAAGTTTTTAAAAGAAAACCTATTTCTAGGCCCCACTCCCCAATTTTTTGATTTATTTGGTGTGGGTGCAGTTTGGGCATTGATGCTTTTGAGAGGCATCCTAAGTAATTCTAAGGAGCAGATAGGAAGCCACTAGGCAAAAAGACAGAGTGTGAACATTTACATTTGCCTTCAAGACAAATTTTCTATCCCCAGTTTAACTTATCAGGCAGTGGCCAGCTCAACTAGCCTCCCATACCCTCTGTACAGTGCTTGTGTTTCCCCCTCTTCTATTTCTTTTTCAGGGATTCCAAGAGTTTTCTTCTCACGCAGTTTTTTCTGATTCAAATTCCTGCCCATTTTTCAAGATGCTGGCTCAGTTTTTACCTCCTCCATGAAGCCTTCCCTGACTGCCCTTGTTTAAAGGGCTTGCTCCCTCTTCTGAACTCACACAGCAATTCTTGCTTAGAAAATCATCTAAACAGTGAAGCAGTCATGTACTGCTTTGTGTCATCTCTTCTATTGTGTTAAATACATTAATCTCACTTTTCACCTGTTATCCAACTACCTACACTGTAAGCGTCTAGCATTACTTTGTATCTTTGACAAGCTGAGTGCCTTGCACAGTGTAGGAAGTCAATAAATATTCTCCCCTCCCTTCCATCCTCACTTCCGCAGGTATTGTTCAGGTCTTCATTTCTCCTGGAGTTTTGCCCTGGTCCTACTGTGCCTTCCTGACGCCAGAGTCTTTGGCTTTTTTAAGTCAGGCCAATGCATCAGTGGATCACATGGCTAGTGTCCAGTAAGACTAATTGTATCTTGTACTCTGCTCATTCTTGCTTTCTTCCTATTTTATGAGCTAAGTGACCCTTTGGCTTTCTACACCCCGCCCCCCCCCCACCTTCTGTTCCCTCACTCTTTTACTCCCTATCCTGCCAGGATTTGATGACAAAATTCAATTTCTCAGGTTTTGACCTCTTGTGCTAAGATGTCAGAGTATAACATACTTTCTGGGGCTTCTTGTCCCTATTCCTTTGGGCAAACACTTCCCCTGCCAGGCTCTGGCCCAGCTGACCTAAATTATTTTGTCAGTACCCTTGTCTGATCTGTCAAGATTCCCCTCAAAGAGAACAAACACTCTCTATACTGTCTTTAGATTCTCATTCTTTAAAAGAAAACTGATTGTCTACATGATTAAAAACTTCTGTTGGTCCCTTATTGCCTGCAGAATAAAGTTTAAACCTGAGATGTCCAAGATGGGAGTAATTACGACTCAATAAAAAAGTGAGTTCCTGATGTGAGAACGACCTGGCTGTGGTATCTGTCACCCCATTGATTGCCAAGGTTGATTTGGCTGATCTGTCTGGCCAGGTGGGTATCCATTTTCTCCCTCACCATTCTACGTGTTCTCTCCTGAAGCTGAACATAGCTCCAAGAAGACAACTTGTCCTGATAGAGGACCATTCTTCAAGTAGCTGAGCTCCCCTGCTAGATCCTATAAACAAACTCTCCAGGTCCATTTGTAGGAGAAGGTAGACTAATAAAGCTTCCAAGACTCCAGACACATCCAAATGAGGTGCTGCAGGTGGCAGTCTGCCTTTATTAAAAAAAAAAAGAGAGTTCTTCAGCTATGCCATATAAGTCGCTAGTGGCTATTGCACTGGACAACAAAAATACAGAGCATTTCCATCATTGCAGAAAGCTCTGTTGAACAGTGCTCTTCTAAATACCTTAATGTAGCTCATGAGGCCGTTTATAATCTCATCTCAATCTTTTGCTCTAAATTTTTGGCGCTACTCACTTTCAGTCCCACCGACTTTCTCAGTGGGTGCCCTTTTACAACTCCATGCCTTTGACAATGCTGTTTCCCTTTTACTGAAATCCTCTTTGACTTTCTTCTCTGGCAAATTCCTATTTACCTTTTAAGATCCAGCGCAAACATTACCTTCCTTGTGAAGTTCCCTGACATTCCTAAACACGATGATTTCTTCCTCTGTTTCCCTTGCTCATTGAACCTAGCTCTATTGCCCTTATTACTGTATTTTGTTTTTTGCTTATAAAGTCAGCTATGTTCTTGGAAGGGGGATGCTGACTGTTCTAGAGATCTGCTCTAATGGTTATCTAAAATTGTTTGCTTGATGCCTGTTTGAAATCATGTATTTTCTTATTTATGTGCTTGGCATGTTTGAAAGGATCATTTAGTGCTTTAGAAGTCCTTCCCCTTTCTGGTGTAAACCTAGAATGACTTCTTGTCTTCCAGACTGAAGTCCATTTCTCTTCTAATTAGTTCTGACTGGACTTGAGAGGGATGTGATAGGAGGAATTGACAAAGTCCAAAACAGAGGGACTGTATGTAGGAGCTGGTTCAGATGTGCTCAGGTTCCAGTGGCCACACAAAATAGTATGTGTTTGGGAAAGAGTAGGGAGGGAATATGGAGAAAATAAAAACAGCCCATGGAAAGAAGTTGGGGATTTGTGTTTGACTTTTTCCAGGCCAAGGCCAAAAGCAATTAAGATGGGAAGAATTTTTATGACCATTTTGCAAAAACGTACATATTTTTCCCTCCTGGTATTTGATGAGATTTTAATAAATTCTTGTGACTCGAATTACTGGGAAGTAAATGCTCCTGACCAAGAAATTAAAGTATCAGTTAATTTATCTTCTGCGATCATGGTTAACATCACTCTGAAAGGCTTATTTTCTTCTGAGAGGGCTATAAATCCTATTGGCTCCGATCTGAGAGACCTTCGCGGATCACTGTAATCTAGCCGTGCCGCAAATCGTACAGTGAATCATCTTCCCCTTGGCGCCCCGATCACGCCCATTGATTAGACCACGCCTACCTAAAAGTCTCCCTCCCTCCCACCTTGTGGCTCCGCCCCAGGCCTAGCAGAGGAAGATTCTTATTGGTGAAGAAGTTGTCCTGGTTCCGCCCCAGGGCACGGCGATAGGCCGAGCCGGAGTGGGGCGGTGGTGGTTGGCTGCCTGGGGACGGGTCGGTAGCCGTGCCTGTCAGAGTGGCTGGCGGCAGTGGCGGCTCTCCGGGCTGGGTTGTCAGTCAGTGAGCAGAGGGGGAAGATGGCTCGCTGGGACCCGTTCTGTTAGGAAGAAGGGGGGGCAGGTGGTGCTTCTACTCCGGAGAAAGCAGAGCAGCCGCTGTCGCTGTCGCTGGGAGTCAAACAAGCCGAGGTTCTGGAGGTGGAGCTCGGGAAGCCGCTCTGGTGAGTACGACCCAGCGACCCACGCCGGGCCCCCAGAGCAGCCGGCGACCGATAACTTTTTTGTCAGGGAGGAGCCGGGGCGAGGCGGCGGCGGGGAGGGGACCGGGACTTTGTCCCCGGGGCGGCGCCTTCGTTGGGGGTAACGGCTCCCTCGCGAGGCGCCGCGGGTGGGCGCGAGAAGGCGCTGGACTCTAGGGGCTTCCGAGGGGCCGGAGCAGCGGGGTCGGGTGAGTGGGCTGCGGCCGGCGGCTGCTCGCCCCGAAGTTGGGCGCAGCCCGTGTGCTGCCTGGGCGGCGGCAGCTTTGTGCGCGTGGACTCGGGTCTTTCTCTTTCCCAGCAAGGAGCAGCCCAGACTCCGGGCGTGCCCAGGGGGCAGCAGCCTGGGCGGGACCCGCCGCCCCTCTGCGGGGAGCCCCCCCACCCCCACCCAGCCGCAGCTGATGCTCGGGCCTGGCCTCTCCCACTCCCGGGAGGCTACAGCTGTACGTCCAGTCTAGTGGCTAAAATGGTCACCGTCAACTCCCCCCCCCCCCCCATCTTTAAAAGCAGCGTTCGCCCTGGTCTTCGGTGTCCCCCGCAGGGCAGTGAGATTCAGAAAGCAGCCACGATTCCTTCCTTGATTATTACACTGGAGATCCCCTCTTCAGCACTTGCTCCGTTCTTTCTAGGAGTTATTCCGCTCCTGAGGCTGCTTTTAACGTGCTCGCGAATCGTCGGGGTTTTGTCTGAAAATGGTTGCATTGGAAGACCCCAAGTTTGCACGCTTCAGCAAAACTGCGTATCCGCCCTTGAGCGTGCACAGTTGTGCTCTTGTGCCCTCCAAGTTCAGGCATTCCTGAAAGATTTTAATTTTGCCCTAGTGGTTTCGTGCTGCACTGGATCGGGTCTCTGATAAATACGCTGTCACACACCCCGCAGCGGCTCCGCTCTTCAGGCAGGGGGAGTTTGTTCCACAGGCAGCTACTAATTTCAGAGACCACACGACAGGCAGTAGGACCAAGCTGTCCTTTTGCAAATTGTGTGTCCTTTGGGTCACACAGTAGTTTTTGGAGCCGATAGGCCACACCTTTGGTTCATGTAACACTTGACAGTTTGAAATTTTCGGCATTTAAAATCTTATCTGCATAAAGTCATGAGGATCGGTGTAACCTTGAGTCAATGTGATAGACCCGGGAGGGTTGTTTTCCATAAGTACATTTTCCTAAAATCCACAGACTACCCCTCCCCTCCAGTTTCTAAGCATCTTTTCTTTGGGTTAATACATTTTTAAGGTTTACGAAATGAATGTTGGTTCCAAACACCATTTTTTTGAAGTACAGGGAAAGGCAAGAAAGAAAAAAAAAAAAAAAAAGGATCTGCTGGGCCAATAGTAGCTTTAAAGTCAGTTATTCAAATAATCATTTAAATAAAGTGGCTCAGGGGAAAACCATCACATATTTAGATTAAAAATATTCTGGATTTGGCTTATTTTATCCATAGATAGTTATTACCATAGAGGGATTATAAAACCTTTTAGTTATCGACATTAACAGCACCTGGATATAGACACCCAGATAAGGTGTTGGTTGGGTCAGTATGTTATTCCTGCTATGCTTTCTTTCTTTGTTGTGTTTCTATTTTATGAAATCTGCTCTTGATTGCATTTCTCAGAGTGGTGTCGTTTTGACAGTCAGAGTTTAAACATGTCTTATAGTCAACTGTTTTATTCAGGATCCTGTGGCATGATATTTATTTTATAATGAAAATGTAAAAACTTTGAAAAATGTTAATATCAGTACCCTTTTGGGGATATCATATTTACATTTTGTAAATAACTGAAATTATGCCAAACATAAATTTATTTTGCACTGCCCCAGGCTGAATAGGTTCTATGGCAGAAATGAATGGCATTACTCTTGTCATCAAGGAAAATACTGTATGATGTACAAGACAGATAAGTAACAATTATAATACAATGTGATAAATGTGAATAGAGATATGCCTAGTGTAGGAACGTAGCAGAGTAGGAGATGGCTAACTCAGCTTGGATGTAGGTAGAATCAGGAGCACACAGTACAGTTTGGAGATCTGCTATGATTTAGCCAAGTGCAGGAGGTCACTAACTTTCCAAGAGAAGAATATGATAAGTGAGAAGGCAAGGAGGCATGAGAAACTATGGCAATTTAGAGAAGTCATTGTCAATGACAAGTCCGAAGTCAATAACATTGACATTAACATGACTTGAATGCTGGGGTTAGATAAGGAAATGGTAGAAGATGAAAATAGTGAGGGTGGTAGAACTCCAGATCAGGGCATTGTATCCTTGGCTATGGGGATTGGATTGGCGGTGATAAGTAGGAAGCCATTTAATGAATTTCTGTTTTAGATCCTCACTCTAGTAGAGTGTAGTAGCATCTGACAGGTACTGTTACCTTTGGGAAGAAAGAAGGAAGAATCAGGACCCTGAAGATTTGACTTGGTTCTAGTGATTGGAAGTGAGGGAAGATGGAGGGAAGATGATAATTTCTATTTTGGGTTTTCTGAATCTGAGGAAGCTGTGGAGCATTCGGGTGAAGATGTCATTAGATGTTTGGATCCATGGATGTGGAACTTATAAAAGAAATCAGGATTGCAGGGCAGATCGGCGGTTGAATTGAAGCCGTATTGATTTGGTGATATTGAAATGACTCAGGGAAAGGTTTTAGTGTTGTAAAAGCAGCGGCTAGAGAACAGTCTGTTAAAAAGCAGAAATGGGTAGAAGAATAGTGTGAAAGAGATAGAAGAGTGCTAGTTAGAAAGGTAGGAGGAACATCAGGAGAGATGCTAAGGATAGAGAGAATTTCAAATAGAGGGGAATGGGTCAACAAGTTTGAATGTTGTAAAGAGGTGTCAAGGAAGGAGAGGATTCCAGGGACCTAAGGATCAGGATTCCATAGGTGGCTTGAACAGGTACAGTTTTAACTGAGTAGGGTTCAGAAACCAGTCTTTGGAAGATTGAGAAAGAATGGGTGATGATAAAGTAGACATGCTTGAGTGAGGCATTTCAAGAAAACTGAAGAAGGGAGAGGATGATAGCTAAAGAGCAGTGGTTCCCATCCTTAGCTGCACATTTCCAACCATCTGGGGAGCTTTTAAGAATCTTGGTTTCCAGGGGAAAGTCCATACCAATTTGAGGTTGAGGTAGTACCCCAGGCATTAGTATTTATTTCAGCAGCTTTGTTGAAATTAATTGGCATTTAATAAACCACACATATTTAAAGTGTGCAATTTAATGTTTGCCATAGATTTGCACCTGTAAAATCATCACTGCAGTCCGAATAATGAACATATCCATCACCTACAAAAGTTTTCTTGTGTCCCTTTGTAATTTCTCCCTCTCATCCTCAGGAAACCACTGATCTACTTTCTGTTACTATAGATTAGTTGGACAGGTATTTTAAAGTTCCCTGGGTAATTCCAATGTTCAGGCAAGGTTGAAAACCACTGAAGAGGGATATAGGTTGAAGAAATGTTATGTTTGTTTCTTTACATGCATAAATAAGGTGAGAAGTAAGAAGTAGGAAAGATGAGATATTTACTGGAATTGAGTCCCCAAGAAGATGGAAGTGGGTGAAATTCAGAGCTTTGACAAATAAGAAAGGAAGACAATTTGGAAGCAACAAAGAATCTGATGTTAAAGACAGCACATTTCTTTGTTATCAGCATCCAAGTTGTCATCGTGTAGTATCAAGACTGATTTTCTAAAGTATTCAAACAAAGTTAGCATATTAATATTGCGAAAATGGATGCCGCTCAGGAAATCTCCCTAAATGGAGCCTGGGACCCCTGGCACCACCATGTAATGCTTTGTCATTTTTTGGAGGGGAGCAGATGGAACTAACAGTTTGACTACTGCTTGTTACTGAGAGCCAAGTACTGCCAGAGTCTTTTTGGCCCTGTTGGAGTTAGGCTGCATATCTGCACTGAGGAAAGAGAATATTTAACATTTGAAAATCTTCTGTTTAAAACATCTTTTTGCTCAGAAGAAATTCTGTTTGCTTGCCCTTTGGATATATGCCTTTTAAATGCTTTGGAGGATGAAATCATTTCTGTGTCTCCCAAATGAGACCAGGAAGAGTTGTGATTAGGGAGTTGTCAAAGGCCCATACTTCCTATCCTGAGAAAGGTAATATTTATATCCCCACCCCCTCCTCTTTTTTTCTTTTCTTTTTCCTTTCTTTTATTTTCTTCTTTCTTTCTTTCTTTCTTTCTTTCTTTCTTTCTTTCTTTCTTTCTTTCTAAACCTTCTAAATCTTTTCAGATTACCTTAAAAAATTTTTTTAAGGTTTTATTAATTTTTGAGATAGAGACAGAGCATGACTGAGGGAGGGGCAGTGAGAGAGGGAGACACAGAATCTGAAGCAGGCTCCAGGCTCTGAGCTGTCAGCACAGATCCCGACGTGGGGCTTGAACTCACAGACTGTGAGATCATGACCTGAGCCCAAGTCAGATGCTTAACCAACTGAGCCACCCAGGCACCCCTTCAGATTACCTTTAATTCAATTTATTAAGATCTCAAAAGAGCCCCAATGGAATTTCAAATTAATTTTTTTTGAGATAGTTGTGATACCTTTACAATATTTTCATCATTTCTTAAAGTCATTTAAAAAAATTAGTGTTATTTTTATTAGTAAACTGTACCCCAACGAAAGGCTTGAACTCGTGACTCCAAGACCAAGAGTCATATGTTCTACTAACTGAACCAGCCAGGTGCCCCCAAGTCATTTTTTAATGACTCAGTGTTTTATAGTTTTCCTGATGTGGTTCTGCCTATTTTTAAAGTAAATTTTTGGTATTTTAAAACATGTTGCTATTGCGAATGGAATTTTTTTTCATTGTATTTTTTTTTTAACATTTGTTTATTTTTGAGACAGAGAGAGAGAGAGCATGAACAGGGGAGGGTGAGAGAAAGAGGGTGACTCAGAATTTGAAGCAGGCTCCAGGCTCTGAGCTGTCAGCACAGAGCCCGACGTGAGGCTTGA